AGCTGCGAGCTGCGCCCACCCCCGGGGGGTGGGATGCGGCATCCCCGGCGGGCACGGAGGCATCCAGGGCGAATGGGTGCCACCGCACACCAGGACACGGGTCACGGGGACAAATGGCCAGAGCCCGGCCGGTCGCCGTCCTCAGCTGGGCTGCGGTGGCCTGGCAAGACCCCGCGCCGTGTCCTCCATCCCCTTGCCTGGGATGGCAAGCGGTGATGAGGTGAAGGTACAGGCCAAGGGACAACGTGGGGGCCTGGTCCCCTTTTTCCCGCGAGGGATGGACGGGTGGGCGCAGAGGAGGGAGGGTTCAGGAGGAGAATAGGAGCTGAGCAGAGATGTCCAGCAAGGATGTCCCATGCCCCGGAGGCTGGCACAGCACGTGCCGCTGGCAGGGCTGGAAACTGTTTGATCCCCCCAGCCGCGGGAAGGGCTCGGTGGTGCCAATGTTGGGCAAGATGTGTCCCCGGCAGCCTGGGGACGGGTCAGTGCCTGTGGTCCCCTCCGGTGGGTCACTCCAGATCTGCATCGCCTCGGGCTCTCGTGCTCCCCAGCACAGCACCAGGCAGCCGAGGGGAAGCTCTGCCGCAAGAGGCTGCGTGGGAAGGTGCAAGGAGGATGTGTGTGAGCTGCCGCAGGGCTGTGCCCCCTGCCAGCACCCTGGGTGCTGGGGAGGGGACGCCCGGGTGTGGGTGCCGAGCAGGGTCCCCAGGGGCTGATCCCCTGTGGTGCCCCTGCCTGCTGTGCTGGGCCCGGGGGACGAGACCGTGACCTTGAGGCAGGTTTCCTCCTTGGGGGCCCTGCTGTGGGCACAGGCCCCGTGGCGGGGGCACGGGCACCCTCTTAGTTTGGAGCCAGCTCAAGAAATGTGGGTTCGGAGTGAGGCAGGGGAGTCTCCGAGCAGCCGGGGACCAGCAGCAGCTCCCAGTACACCGGGGACAACTACAGCTGTCACCACCAGCTGGCCTCTGCCTGTCCCAAGCATCATCGAATACACTGCTGTGGACCTTGCGCTCCTCTCCTTCCTTGGCCTTCTCACAAGGGAGACCTAAAGCATCGCGAGGAATGAATTAACAGGCATCGTGAGCTTAAAAATACAACCCTCTGTCTGCAGCTGTGCCACCTCCAGCTGCCGAGCGCGTCCCTCCTACCCGCAGAAGATCAGAGAGACGATCCCTTTCCCTGGCTCTTATTTTCTTCTCTCAAACGTCTCCCTGGAGCTGCTCCCTGTGCGGGTTTCCCTTGATGCGCTCCCCTTTGCCCCGGCAGTGCCAGCGGGTGGGGGGGGGCCTGAGCTGGGGTCATTCCTAAGCCCCCAGCCCTGCCACGCTCTTCCAGGCCTGAGGCGAGCTGATAGCCGCTCTCCCTCTCCATCTGGGAGACACAACCCCGACGGTGGGTAGCTCCAGGCTGCCTGGCTCAGCGCATCCGACGGGTCTGATGAATACTCACAGCCTGGAGCAAGGAGTGACACCCTGAAGGCAGGGCTGCGGGCAGCACCCTGTCAGTGGTGTCCCCAGGGCGCACAGGAGCCCATGGAGGAGATGGAGCCGGGGGCAGAGGATGTCAGGGAGCGAAGGGGGCAGCACCGGCTGCGGTGGCTGTGGACGCCGGGCGTAGGCTGGCGCGGAGGAGCCGTTGCGGTTGTGGCGCTGGGCTGCCAGCTCACAGCCCTGTGACTGCAGGGGAGGAAGCGGCCCCACGCCTGGGTGATGGGGAAATGACACTGCAGGCTCTGTTCTCGGAGGTGGTCACGATGCCGGGGTGCCCCGAGCCAGCAAACACCCGGGGCGGGGAAAAACTGGCTTGGGTGTTGCCTTCCTGCACAGCGAGGCATCATCCGGGCTTTGCTGCCTTTTCCGTACTTGGTCAGAGCACAGATCTGCTTGAACGGGATGCAGGGAAGAAGGAAATTAAGGACCAGTAAGGAGCATTGCCCCAAACGTGCTCCTCACCCACAGCTGCCCCGTGGGCAGGGGCTTGCCAGCAGATGGATGATTTTCTACCCAGCAGCATCCCCATGGGTTGCAACCCTCTCTCCTTGCACCATCACCTCCATCCATGGCTACTCGTGTCTTGGTTTAGGTGTTTCCCAAGGACCGGAGGAGCGGAGCAGGTTTTGGCCCCGAGTCCTCCTAATGGCAAATCCTGTATTATAGATGCCTGAGTGTGGATTATGGCTCTGAAGTTAATTCACATGTGGCTAAGTTACCGTTGCTGTGGGAACCTTTAATGCTGAAATCCTTGACTAGCGCATGTAAAATTAGAGCTCATTCCCACCCATCCCCGCTGGCTGCTCCCCGTGGCGCAGAGGAGCTCATGTGCTGTCATTTGCTCAGGAGGGTGGCAGCATCCCCCCCCTCAGCCAGGGGATTTTTGGACAAGCAGGGTCTTTCCCATCAATGCTGCTCCCTTCTTTACCCAAGTTTTTGGCTCGGGGGAAAGAATGATGGATGACAGCTAGGAGCCATGTCCCCATAGCATGTCTGCAAGCTCTCCTGGGTCTCTCCAGCCACCCAGGGCATATCTCAGCAGCACGGGGAGTGCAGATGGGTTGCCGGAATGGGGAGCGGGGATCTTGGCAATGCTTCCAAGCGTGCAGAAAGGGGCTGGACACCTCGTTCCCTTCTTGAAAACTTCAGAGCTTTGTTCCCGTGGGCGGGAAGTGGTTTCGCAGCCTGCCGCAAGCGCTGAGCAAGCGCCGTTCGCCCACCGGCGCTGCCTTCACTGGGCTCGCATGGGGTGAACAGGACTCTGCCATGGCTTGTGCAGTCATTTAGCAGGAATTCGGCTGGGCTGGAGCTCAGCCAGCCCTTCTCCGGGCTGTGGGTTTGCTTGGAAGGCTGTAGTGTCCGTATCGCCACTGCCTCCATGGCTGAATCGCAGCCCCTGGCAGCGAGCAGAGGCAGCTGGGGGCGAGGGTGGATGCCTCGGGCTCTGTGGCCGGGGCATTTGGCTGCAGAGCTATGGCAGAGGCTTGGCCCTGGGTGCTCTGCGGCTCTTTCCCCTTGAGGTGGTTGGTGATGGAGCTGCAGATCACGCTGCCCCGGTGCTCACTGCTCTGCCCTTGCTGGCTGCGGCAGTGTTCCCGGGGCGTTATGGCAGGGAAGCAGTGCCGGGGCTCACCAGGATTGCACGGACAGGGCTTATAGTGCCAAGGAGCAGCACAGGTCATTGTGGAGGTCTCAACGAGAGGAAAAGCGACCCTTACTCTGCACATTTGGTGGTGGGCTGACAGATGTTGTCTTTGCTTAGGAACCAGACCTTTGACATCGAGTTATTTCCTCTAATTCAGTGCTCAGCTGCAGTGAAGGAAAGCAAATCAACTAAGGTGTTAGGAAAGGCGAAAGGAAGAACATCAGGAGGCAACAACCTCAGTGCCCAGGGCGTCCGCATCTCAGGGACACTGGGACCCAGAAAGGATAGAGCAGGACTGGGACAGGTTCAGAGGAGAATGACAAGGGCATAGAGACATGGAAACCTACTGATGAAGCACTGCCTGTTCCTGGGCTCCTCTCCAGGTCTATGCCACTGGAGACAGGACTCTGGGCTAGGCAGACCTTATGGTCTGTCCATGGGGGTTCCCAAGAAGGGAAGAAGCCTAGGGTCTGCGTGTGACCACAGCAGAGCTTTCCTTCTGGTGGGATGACTTGGCACAAGCAATGGGCACCTTTAATCCAGCTAAAGGGCTTTAGGGGCTGGGTTTTGGGTTGGCAGCAGGGCTGGGCTTGCAGCTAAGTGACGGCTCAGAGGCTGCTCTGATGTCCCTTGTACCTGCTGGGTGCTCAAGGACAGAGGTTGCTCTGGAAGTGCCTGGAGGAACCTACTCCCCAGGAGAAGGTTTCTTCATCTGATGGCCAAGTCATGCTACAGAGGTGGGCTGGATGTCACAAGTGATGGCAGAACGATGAGGGGGCAAAACTGCTGTGACCCTCGACAACCTTTCCCCAAGCACTGTCCTTTGGGGGTAGCAAAAATACAGTACCCTGCGCTAGGGAGGAGAAATCCACAGGGATGGGGGGTTGCCCACCTGGAAGTTGGAACGATTTGGGATTACACAGGACGCCCTGGTCTTGGGGACAAGGCTGCCTGGAGGAGCGAGTCCCCTGTGCTGTCTGGCATGACGGCCCGCTGGCTTGTGCCTGAGCTACACGCTCATTGCCACATTGCTGATGGATGAATACCAGGGCATACTCTCCTTGCTTTAAAAAATATATCCTGTTCCACGGCAGTTTAAGATTTGCTCCAAACCTCGCATGGAATAAACTGATTATTCAAAGCATCTCTAAATCTGCAGCTCCCGTGCGCCTGTTTTTTGCATGCAGGTAGGTTAGCCAGTGCTGAGGAAGGCTGTGCTCTGGCACAGAGACTGGCCGACTGGCTTGTGCTGCAGTGGTTTGCATGCTGCTCTGTCTGCTTGCTCAGACGGCTGCAAACAAGGTCACCCCGCCACCAGGGCTGAGCATCCTCGTCTCTGAGTGGGGTAACGTGTCCCAGTGAACTAGGATGCTTTCACTCGAACAGCAGCCGGCATTGCTTGTGACACTGTGAACGTGGTCACTGGCTGCTTTTATCCTTTAAGTGCAGATAGCAGAGGCCAAGAAAAGCAAAATGCCCAGCTGCTTGGCTTGTTAGACAGTGGCTGAGGAGGAGAGGGAGATCCCAAAGAGCCAGGGACCTGAAATCCTGACCTGGGAGCTAGCTGGAAGGTCTTCTGTGCCCACATGGCCACGAAGCAGCCTTAGGTGCTCCCTTGTCCTCCCCGAGGTCCATGATGCATCAGCCAACCCTTCTGTGGAGCTTGTGGATCTGGGATGCTCTGTCCATGTGCCTGTTTGGTTGATGCTCTCATTCTTCCTTTCCTTCTAGTTTTCCACCTGTCAAGGAAGGTGACGTCCGTCGTCCCGGAGAGCTGCCTCCTCATCCTGCTGGGGCTGGGCCTGGGGGGCATCGTGTTGGCTGTGGCGAAGAAAGCCGAGTACCAGCTGGAGCCCAACATGTTCTTCCTCTTCCTTCTGCCCCCCATCGTCCTAGACTCGGGCTACTTCATGCCCAGCCGGCTGTTCTTCGACAACATCGGCGCCATCCTCACCTACGCGGTGGTGGGCACGCTCTGGAACTCCTTCACCACCGGCGCTGCGCTCTGGGGGCTGCACCGGGCTGGGCTCATGGGTGGGTGCACAGGGCTGCCCAGCTTGGACCACATCCCCAAAAGATGGGTCGGAGGGTGCAAAGTACCCCCAAGTTCAGAGCCCACTGCCCAGCCCTGCTGTGGATTCCCAGGAAGTATTGCAGGAGCAGGGTCCTGGCATCCTGGGAACGGTGCTCTGGCAGAACTGTCAAGCGTGCAGGACAAACGAGCCCAGCTCGGCACTGAGCTGACTCATGTCTTTGCTATTTTTGTCGCCGACCTTGGCTAGCTTTGCTGGCTCGCTGCCGTGTTCCCTGTCCTTGGCTGCAGCCACTGGCCCTGGCTGGCCTGGGCTGTGTTTTGAGTCTCCTGAGCCTCGAGGGACCACTTGATGCCTGGACCTGAGGTGGGGCTGCTAAGCCTCCTTCGGTGTGTATCTGCCGGAGGGGCAGCGATGCACCTGGGTGCCAGGGGGGATGGCCAAGCCCTGCTCCCTTCATGCTGCAGCAAGGATGTGCTGAACCCTGCTTCACCTGGGGGACCCTGCAGGTCTGGGAGCGCTCCCTGGCTCAGCCCACTGCACTCCAAGTTGGGATGCTGCGGCCAAGTCACCGGGAGCAGATGAGGGACAGCCTTGTTTCAGCCTGGTGAAAGGGGCTCTGGGGCAGATGGTCTGCCTGAGCTTGGTCCTTCTGTCCTAGCAGATCCGGGAGTTGAAGCTGGGCTGATGGATTTCCTGCTCTTCGGCAGCCTCATCTCAGCTGTGGACCCTGTGGCAGTGCTGGCCGTCTTTGAAGAGGTCCATGTAAACGAGACCCTCTTCATCATCGTGTTCGGCGAGTCTCTCCTGAACGACGCTGTCACCGTGGTGAGTTGAAGCTTGGGGGACCCAAAAGTGGAGCCCAGTGTGGGCCAGGGCACTGGAGTCCCCCAGGATGGGCAGAGGATGCAGGTGACATCCCCAAGCCAGGGGCAGACCCATGCCATGCTCTCTGGGTCTCTCCTCTCTCATGGCCCTGGGGGACTTTGCCTGCCGAGATGAGCTGTGTTGCCTGGCAGATTTGGGGCAGGCAATGCCTCTTCCACAGGGTCCATCCTGCCCGCAGGTGCTGCCCCTCTCAAGGCAGGGCAATACCCTGCCTTCCCCAAGGGATTTGCCTTGCCTGCAGGTGCTGTACAAGGTCTTCAACTCTTTTGTGGAGCTGGGCCCAGCACACATCCATGCCACAGACTACGTGAAGGGGGTAGGTGAGTATGGGCCCCACAGCCCCTCCGACTCCTGCCGAGATGAGCTGTGTTGCCTGGCAGATTTGGGGCAGGCAATGCCTCTTCCACAGGGTCCATCCTGCCCGCAGGTGCTGCCCCTCTCAAGGCAGGGCAATACCCTGCCTTCCCCAAGGGATTTGCCTTGCCTGCAGGTCTGTTCAAGGCCGACTCTTCCTCTGGGGTGGAAGTGGGGGGGGGGCAAGCATGGGTGCTGTCGTACTGTGGCATGGGCACTGAGCACCATAGCTCTGTCATCTCCATCCCAGTGGTCACACACTGGCTGTCATCACGGGATGCTTTGGTGGGGAACCGGGTTGGGAACGTGGGGCTTGGCCAGCCCAGTGTGGCATGGCCGTGGGGCACAGGAGCTGGGCTCGCTTGCTTATGGTGCATATGAGTCTTCTCCCCCCACCAGCCTCCTTCTTCCTGGTGAGCCTGGGGGGCACAGCCGTGGGGCTGCTCTTTGCTTTCCTCCTGGCCCTGATCACACGGTTCACCAAGCGCGTACGTATCATCGAGCCGCTCTTCGTCTTCCTCCTGGCCTACGTCGCGTACCTTGCTGCTGAGATGGTCTCGCTCTCCTCCATCCTGGCGTGAGTACTGGGGTGTCCCCTGGGGGGATCCAGGAAATCAGGGGTGCAGTGCTGAGCAGCAGGAGGCGGCGAGCAGACCCATTCCTCATCCTGCCATAGGGTCATGCTGGCTCCTTCTGCCCCTCTGCAGAGTCACCTTCTGTGGGATCTGCTGCAAGAAGTACGTGGAAGCCAACATCTCCCAGAAATCCCGCACCACAGTCAAGTACACCATGAAGACACTGGCCAGCAGCTCAGAGACCATTATCTTCATGTTTCTGGGCATCTCGGCTGTGGACACCTCCAAGTGGGCATGGGACACAGCGTTGGTGCTGGGCACCCTGTTCTTTATCCTGCTCTTCAGAGCTGTGGGTCAGTCTGCCCCACTGTGCTTCTGACCCATCCCTTTTCATGGCAAAAAGTGGTATCTCCCAAGAAAGGCTGGGGCATGGGACCAGCCACAGCTCCTGGCCTGGGCTTTGCCCTGTCTCCAGGAGCAGGCAGGGCTCTGCTGGCACCCCAGGCTCTCCTTCTCCTTCTTCCCTAGGCGTTGTCCTCCAGACCTGCGTGCTCAACCGCTTCCGCCTCATCCCCCTGGACAGGATCGACCAGGTGGTCATGTCATACGGTGGCCTCCGCGGAGCTGTGGCCTTCGCCCTGGTCATCCTGCTGGACAGGGCAAAGGTGAAAGCCAAGGATTACTTTGTGGCAACAACCATCGTGGTGGTGTTCTTCACTGTCATTGTGCAGGTGAGGATGGGCACCGTGCCCTCCTTCAGTGCTGCCCTCTTGCCCAGAGCTGTCCTGGTGGGCCAGGCAGGCGCTTGGGGACACGTGCTTGGAGCAAATACCTCTTTTCAAGTCACCTTTGGTCCTAGGTGCCTCCTGGCACCCCATCCATCACTAGGCTGGTATGCAGGACAGCCCCGGCGGCTGTTGCGATGGTGGGGCCATGGCCCATGTTGTTTCCCCGTTGGCCTCTTGTTCTGGGACTCGGTCCAAGAGCAGCAACGGCGTGTGCCTGGCCAGGCTGTTCTCTTTACAAAGCTGCTGTTGGCCCATGGCTCTGGGGTTCCTGCGCCCCAGGAAGGGGAGACGCACGGTGGCTGGATGCGAGCCTACGGGAAGGGTGACTGGGGGGCTACGACATTGTTGCTGCCTGCCGGGACACAGAACCATCGCCCAGGTCCTAGGCGCAGGGTGTCGGGTTGGTAGGGGCATGCACGGCCAGCACTGCTGCTGTCCCCAGTCATTTCCTGCTGCTTCTGCTCCCCGTGCCCCAGCCACACACCCTCTCGCCCTCCCAGTCTTTCCCTTGCCTTCTCCTGCCATTCCAGGGCCTCACCATCAAACCCCTGGTGACGTGGCTGAAGGTGAAGCGCAGCGACCACCACAAGCCCACGCTGAATGAGGAGCTGCATGAGCACGTAGGTGCTGGTGCTGGAGGCTGCCCGGCTCCCCGCACCTCCGGGGCTGGGCGAGGGCGATGCACAGCCTCAGCACCCCCGGGGCACCTGCAGCCTCGCCACCGCTCTCACCCTCTTCTCCTCGCTCAAGGCCTTTGACCACATCCTGGCAGCGGTGGAGGACATCGTGGGGCACCACGGCTACCATTACTGGCGGGACAAGTGAGTGTCTTAGCCAGGATCCTCCAGCAGCCATCAAGTGGACAGCGGATGCATGCCAGCCATGGGGACATTGCAGGGTCCCCGCTGCAGGACACCCCTGCTGTAGGCAGGGCAGCAGGACCTGTATGTCAGGCTGTATGTCTGTCCGTCTGGAAGGGGACTGTCTGGCTGCTGTTCTGCAGCAGACCAAGCTCCCAAAAGCATTCCAGAGAGAGGTCGGGCGGGTGCGGCTGGGCATGCTGCGAGAGCTGGCATTGCTTGCCCATGCCGGAGCTGCTGGGGGGCTGTGGGGTGTCTCTGGTGATGACGATGGCCCTGTGCCTCCCCATGGATGGAGCTGCGCTGGGTGCTGAGGAGGAAACAGTCCTGTTAAAGCCTGGGCAGTGTTTATCCGCAGCACAGCGACAGGAAAAGGATGCGAAAAGCCTGTTTCCTGGAGGGGAAGCGCTCCAGCGGGGCAGCCATGCCGGCCCCAGTCCCGCTCCCATTGCCTCCCGCAGACCTGCTGGTCTCCCGCTTCCCCTTGGGCAGGGACGAAGAGTCAGTGTGATCCCTCCCTTCCTGCCCTCCCTGGCAGCATGTCCCTGGGCACAGCCAGGTCCTGCGTGCCCAGCCCACTTTCGCCATGCTTTGGACACTGTCAACCTTGTGTGGGCAGGGGGTCCATGGCCGTGGTACCCCGTGGGAGCTAAACCACCCATGTCTTCATCTCGTGGCAGGTGGGAACAGTTCGACAAGAAGTACCTGAGCCAGCTCCTGATGCGGAAATCTGCCTACAGGCTGCGGGACGAGATCTGGGACGTTTACTACAAGTTAAACATCCGTGATGCTATTAGCTTTGTCGATCAGGTAGGGGCATGCGGTGGGCGCTGGGCAGTGGGGTGGCCCCGTCAGGAGCCGGCTGGCCTGGGGTGGTGGTCCACCCCACGCATGGCCATGCGTGTCC